TGGCCTTGGAGACTCAAATCTCCCTGGTTGAACAAAAACCTCTAGGACCCTTCCCTGAGGAGCATTTGGATGTTGTAAAAACTGGTAGTGAAAAACAAATCGAAAATCCTAAGGAGAGTGATAATGAGATTGAAGAGAGTAATAATGAGGTTGAGAAGAGTTCTGATGAGAAAAGAGTAGAGATTGAGAAAATTACACCAACACCATCTGAAAGGGAGGTTGTCAAAGAGGTGGAGAATGAAACATCTATTATTTTTCCTCCTCCCTATAACCCACCTATTTATTTTTTACAAATATTTGTGGAAGCTAATGTAGATGCCAAATCCAAAAAGTATGTTGAGAATATCCATACCAATGCACCTTTGCTTGAGATCACGCATAAGAAGAGAAAATTTGAGGACCATGAAACTAGGGAAATCATTAGCATTAAGAAGGAAAGGTTAACATTTGAGATGGTGGATGAAATAACTATGCCTAAACTTGAAAAGATGATACTCAAGATTGATCCAGAACCACCACCATAATTTCAGAAGAAGGAACTACCCCACAAAAGAAAGAAAAGAAAATGTGAGGGATGTGTGGGATGGCTTGATAAGTGGCCATGGAAACCAAAGACGATTAAAAATTTGATCGAGGAAGCATTCTCAAGAGAATCACCATGAGTGATGACACTGTTGAGTCCTCGAGCTACCGACGTTAAAAGAGCTTTGCGTGGGAGGCAACCCACGAGTTTTAATTTAATATTTTTGTTTTTCTTTGAGTTTGCAGAAAATAAGGATATCGATCGCTTGGCACCTATCAATTGCATGTAGGCAATTATCGAGGCGAGCACTGATCAGGTTCTTATTCCTTTTTCCACTTTTTACTGAAACATTGAGGACAATGTTTGGTTTAAGTGTGGGGGAGGAACTTTACCGCTTTCCATTTATCGCTTCTTATTTTGATTATTGTTTTCTAGTTTATTGCATGTTTTTAGGATTTTATCTGTTTTCAGTATTTGGTAAATTCGTTGCATATGATGTCAAGTATGTATGCCTATTTTTTAGTTGTTAGCGAATTTCCACGAATTTATAAAATTTTGACCTCCAACAAAAAATTTCTTGTTGATGCATGGGACACACACTCTAAAAGTATATAGGTTGTCACACTTTAGGTTTTGTTAGAGAGACTTGGGAAAGTTTCGATAAAATCGATATCGTTATGACACCCTAAACCCCCTCATTATGTGATATCAATTTTGAGTACCCATTATACCGAGACCTTAGGCTCAAGTTTTCAAAGTAGTTCTTAAGTAGTTTATATTAGCAACCAGCACCATCTTAAGCACAAACTACGTAGGGAGTCGATAAATATAAGTGAATGATCCTAAATTTTCTAAAAAAAATAGTTGCCATGATAAATTTAAAATATAGAGTGCACCTATTAAGTTAGGTGACCCTCACCCGGTCACTTAATACAACGGTTGTGGAACCTGCAAAAAATATAATAAAACAACCAGTCGTTAGTTGATTCAGAGGTGTCTGGTGTTGAACTTGGTAGGACAGACTACAGTCTGATCCCCCGCAACTACGATTGGTTAAATAAATGGGGTTACCAAACTTATGTACCAGAATCTCGAGACAAAGGATCATAGTAGCTAACTGATGTCCATACTATGTGCGTGTACAGATAACAGGCTTAATGTGATTGCGCTTGAATGAATAGAGTGAAATAAAAACGAGAGATATAGGTTGAGTTATAATGGCATGATTCAAATTGGTTTGCATAAAGTGGGAGTCTTTTAACATTGTGTTGTTACGGTATCCTTGGTATTGAATACTTAGTACCTATCAAACTAACATTAGCCTAGCAGCCACGTATGATTAGGAGTCGTGTTGTGCCCTTGTTTCAAAGCTCGCTTATCATTTCTTTTACTTTGTTGGTCGATTGCTTGAGGAAAACAATGGTTTAAGTGTGGGGATATTTGATAACGCGAAATTATATCGAATTTTCTAGCTCGACTTGCATGCATTTTATTATCGTTTTTATTTATTTATGTCATATTATGTTGGTATTTATTGTATTTCAAGTATATGCTAGAAATGAACCTAAATATGAAAAGGAGAAAGAAACAGGAATAAGTGACAGAAAATATGTGACTTTGTAGCAGAAAATAAAAGAAACTGCATCAGAGGACTGTGACGGTCGTCACAGCCTCATGCCGCCCGCCACAAGCTAAATAAGTGTACCCCTCGGCACACTAACCATGGCACTCGGCACAAGTCAAATATGTACCCTTCGGCATACATTGTATGGCGATCGGCACAAGCTAATTGCAGTGATTAAACACAAAGTCCTCTTCACGTCTGCAACGAAGCTCCCATGATTTTCTCAACTTGCCATTATCACTCCATGATCTTTTCAACTTCCCATTTTTTCACTTATTTATGCACTTTCTCCATTATCTCCACTACTTCTCTCATAAAGCTGAAATGTAACTTCTATTTTGTTCCTCTATATATAGGATCTTAGAAATTAGTTTTGAGTATCCAAGTTTTGTACGTGGGGGCGCTTCATAGTTTTAGGCAGCAAATTACTCTTGTAAAAGTGGTAGTTTATCACATTGAGGAACTACCAAACTATTAGTGTAGGCCTATAATTTGTGTAACGCTTGGATCAATCTTGCCGATATCATTTCAAAGCTTTATTCAAGTTTCAAGATTTGTTTCGTTCGTAGTTTTATTCAAGTTTATTTCGTCTGCTTTACTTCCAGTTAATCCTGCCGGCTTGTGGAGGATACGCACTGCTCAAATTATTTGCTTCAGTATTTAATTTTAAGTTCCTATTTTAAGTATAATTTATTTATTCTTACCATGTATGTGTTACTAAATTTATGTTTTAATTTTATGTTATCCTGCAATAAAATTATGTTTGGCTAAATTCCCCGGTACCGGTATGTAAATCTTAAACTGAAGGGATTTGGTAATAATTGGCATTAATATTTTACAAAAGCACTTTTCTGGTTTTAATTTCCAATTTGGATATTTAATTGTTTTTGTACGAGAGTAAAAGACAGTTTAAGGTTAAAATCAACAGAGCGATAGTTTGAGGTTTTAACCAGATAGTGGTTATTAAACATTAATTTTAAAAACAGCGAGAGCGCTTTAAAATTAATTGAACTCTATTTGTTTTCAAAAAAATACTTTTGAATTTTAAATGAAACAGCGAGAGCGCTCATTTGAATTTAATAATATGACCTGAATAGATAGAACGAAAGTGTGAGACGAGGATTTTTAAATGAATAGTTTCCACTGAAACAGTATTTTAATACTGAATACAAATGCCAATGACTTATTAAATCCCTGAAGTTGACAAAGTACATACCGGTGTCCTGTTATTAATTATTAGATTTTAGTTAATTCCCGATTAAACCCAAACACCCAAATTTTATGATTAGCCTTAACTTTACACGGTGACCCTAAGATAACAGTAGTTTGACCATCAGTCCTTGTGGGTTCGATATCTTTTAAAACTACGCGATAGACTGTGAACTTGCAGTCATACACCCGACAGACTCATAAAGTCGCGATCAGCTTGGCTCCCTCAGAGCTAAAGGGCGGAGCGTCCCCAGTGGTCGTTCGAGGTTGAATGTTGATGGAATTGAAACCTTCTGGCTGAGGCTTTAAAACATCTCCTCGCCGCATGGATCTCATCGTGGAGGGTGGCGACCAAACTCTTAGCGGTGTAGTACTTCATCTTGAGGTGCACGGTGGAGGGCACTGCGATTAGCTCGGAGAGAGTTGGTCTCCCGAAGATGCACTGGTAAAGAGATGGGCAATCTACTATCAAAAATTGGATTTTGATGGCTCTGGCCGTCACTCCTCTCCCGAAGTGACGATCAACTCGACGTATCCCTAAGTTTTGTACTGGCCCCGTTGAAGCCCTGAAGATCTGATCTAACGTATGGGATCAGATGGCTTTCATTCAGCTGCAAAGTGGCAAACAGCAAGGTGTACATAATGTCTACCGAGCTTCCCTTGTCGACCAGAATGCGTCGCACGTTAAAATTCACCATGCGAGCTCTTATGAGCAGTGGGATGGTCGAGTTGGGGGCTCCACCCGGTAGTTCTTCCCTGTAAAAGGTGAGGGGGTGAGAACCTCCTCGGAACTTGTCTAGCGTGGCGTCTATGTTGGAATTGGCTTCGATGAGTTGGTCGAATCTTCTTTTCACATACCCCACCGTATGCCTGTTGAATCCACTGACGGAGATGACCATAGCAGCGGGGAACGACTCCCAAGGGCTATGAGAGGAGAAATATAAAGGAACGTTCTCCAAGTCCGGGAGATAAAGGTCTTTTGGCCGCGAGATGCTCATGGCAGTCGGTATGGCATTAATATCGAGGGACTCCTTCCTCCCTTCGATATTTTTGGCTTCTAGAGTCTCTTCACGGGCGGCCTCTTTTTTCTTGTATTGTTTGAGGTGTCTGTATTGAATCAGTATTTCGATTGCATCCTTGAGATGGATGCAATCCTCAGTGTTGTGCATGTGGCTTTTGTGGAACCTGCAGTATTTGTTTTTGTCAGTTTCTGATTTCGAGTGCGTTTGTCGAGGAAAGCGTACCCCGATCTGTTTGAATTCAAAATTTACGCATTCAGATAGATACGCTCCCTCAAAGTAGTCAGAGGGGTGTAGTCGTGGAACCACCCGGCGGATCCCTAGTTCTTGGGGTATCGGGATCTGTCTTCCCGTTTCTTCTCTCTTTAACGAGAAGTCGAGGGCTCATTAGTTCAAGAAGGCAAATAATTGATGGTGTCCGACAGGCCACGCCAAAGGGAAAGACTAGACTGAGCCCACTCTGACTGTCGGACCGGTCCAAAATAAATCCTATTTGAAATTGTGACACCAAACTCCTAATAACCAGCTTTAATCTACTAACAATAACTTTACTAAGAATTTTGCTAGTATTACATAGCGATATGGGTCTGAATTGATGTATTGAATGGACGGTTTACCTTGAGAATCAAACATAATTTTGTTTTGTTGATATCTCCAATACAATGAGGATTATGCCAGAGATTTTGAATAAATGCACAAACCTAGCTACCAACTTGTTCCGTGATTTCTTATAGAAGTCGGCAGGGAATCCATCCAAACCATGAGACATGACAAAATATGTATGCCTGATTTCCTCGTTATTCAAGTCCTTAGAAAGCTGCTCGATCAACTCAGACATTAAAGGAGGAAAAGTTGTTTTGGTATGGTGCCACTGCTCAACCTCCACCTCAGATGTATACAGAGCATGAAAGCAATCTGAAAACAGCTTCTTAACACTAGATCTTCAATCCACTCCCCATTTTAGTCTTTTATCATTCTAATGTTCTAAATCCTTTTCCTTCTAGTCAGAACTTTCATATGGTAGAAACGTTGATACCACATAAGCTCCCCTTGATGCAGAAGCTTAGCTAAATCAATCTGAAGAGTTATTTTATGTTTCTCTAACCATGTGTGTCATCTGTTAGCCTGACTGGCTTTTTGAATACCCCATATCATGTTCAATATATTGTTCTTCTTTTGCTAAATGCTTCTAACAATATATTGTTCCACATTGTCAAATTATTCCAGATTTAAACAACTTCCAATTTAAACAAACAAGAATTACAAATCTACGTGAGTAAGACAATAAAAGCACGAATAATATCATGCATAAACCAAATAGCGCATATATTTTACCAATGAATCAAGAAGATTCAAGATTAATTGTAGTAAAATAAGTAGATTCAATTCCTGAACAAACGAATTGTAGTAGATCAATGTGTTGCTATATCAATATTCATAAACAGATGAACCAAAACTTATCAGAGCAACATCTACAAAACAGATTCAGATTAAAATAAGACCTAAGCCCTCTCGCCTCTGATTCTACGAGCTAGCTGGATATCCTTGGGCATGATAGTAACTCTCTTGGCATGAATGGCACAAATATTAGTGTCTTCAAACAAACCAACAAGATAAGCTTCGGCAGCTTCTTGAAGAGCAGAAACAGCACTGCTTTGGAATCGGAGATCTGTTTTGAAATCCTGAGCGATTTCACGAACCAATCTTTGGAACGGAAGTTTCCTAATAAGAAGCTCTGTGCTCTTCTGATACTTCCTGATCTCTCTTAAAGCAACAGTTCCTGGACGAAACCTGTGTGGCTTCTTGACTCCTCCAGTGGCCGGGGCAGATTTCCGAGCGGCTTTGGTTGCCAGTTGTTTTCTTGGGGCTTTGCCTCCGGTAGATTTGCGAGCAGTTTGTTTAGTACGAGCCATTTCGGTTAGAAAAAAGAGAGAAATGATACTTTTGTTTGTTAACTGAGGGTTGAAATGTGAGGAAAAGAGAAGGGAGTGTTTGGCTAATATATGGGAGGAGAAGAATGAGGGAAAAGCGGGAAATGAAAATAATTAGAAAATTTTAGGAAATGGTGATCGTTGATAGAAGTAGCTATCTACGGCTGTGCTTTTCCGGGGAAATGGCATTGGGATGGAGATCCGTGGTATTTGAAACTGACCAATAGAATTATTTCATTAATATTCTTAATTTATTTTTACTCAATCAAATGTTAGTGGCATTAAAGGTGTCTTTGATGCGGACGATTTTAAAGTAAAAATTATTTGAATTGCAAGAGAAAAATATGTGATTCGGTTTGATTCTGTTTGTTTTTAAAAATAAATTTGAATCAAACCAAATCAAATTAATGCAGTTTGGATTAATTCGGCTGATTCGATTTTTTATAAAAAAAATTATTAAATCATACATATACATATAGAGAAAAATATAATTTTGTATTTAATTGTTCATATATTATCATTAAAAAAAATTATAATTTTCAAAATAAATTTATAATTTAATACATAAAATTGTGTTATTATAATTTTATCTAAATCTAAAAAATGATATAGACAATATTGCATTCTTAAATAAATATTATAAGAATACGATAAATATGTTTTGTGAAAATAAATATCATATAAAGTATGATAAAATATACACATAATACATAATACATGTTGATTTCTCTAAATAATTAAATAAATATATATTGATTAATAAGATTTTATAACATAATATGGTTTTGTTTGATTTGGTTCGGTTTGTAAAATACAAACCACAAACCGAACCGAATCGTGTGATTCAGTTAGAAAATGACTCAAACACATCCGAATTAAATACAGTTGTTTGCAGTTTCGGTTTAATTTTGCAATTTTCTATTGCACCGATTTAGTTTTGAAAACCCCTATATAATATTATACATAAATTATTAAATAAATTGTATAGTTAAAAAAGTAATAAGTAATATTTTATTTAAAAATTGAAATAAATAAGTTATTTTACTGCAAAAATTTAAGTAATTTTTATATGTTATTAACGAGAAAGTTGTTATTAATTTTTTTTATTTTAAAATTGTTGATTTATAAATACTATAAACTTACTTGTATTAATAAGTAAATATAAATAAGCGTTAAGTTATCTCACTCGCTTGGTCATGTGTTTGTAAAACAACTTATCTTGTTTTCTTTATCTAATGAAATATGTTGAACTACATTATTATTTTGATGGGTTAAATATACTCAGAGAGAATTGAACACGATCAAACAATTAAGTAGAGAGTAATGTAAACTTATATGAAGGAAACCTTGAGAGCAACAATGTCAGACGATCAAGTGGAGAGCAATGCAAACTTATATGAAGGAAGTTTTGAGAGCAAAGCATCTTTGTTCCATGGATTTTACTTTATTTTTATCCCTATCACCAAGATTGTCTTACAACAGTGCTGTAAAATTTATGTGGACTCGAGTGTTAATTTTGAACACAAATTGAACAAGAATCCTATGGTTTACATATATTCTATTTCTCTTCATCATATCATACAATGCATCTAGAATACTTAAATCATAGGATGTAAGGTATTAAAGTATGATAAATAGAACCAAAAAAAAATCATGTAAGTCCCGTCAGCCAAACGTAATTATGTCTAGAACACCTAATATTTTTGCTCTAGAGTTACAAAATAATTGCAATATGTAAGTCCCTTTAGCCAAACATGTCAAAATTCTTGTTGGTGTTAGTTTTTTTTATTATTAACTATTAATTATAATGTGCCTTTCTTGTTTCGAATTTTGGTGTTGAAATAGTATAACGGGATAATAATGGTCTGTTAATTTGGAGAAGAAGATGGAAGGAAGATTAGGGTTTTAAAATTGGAGAAGAAGATTAAATAATTTTGATATTAATTGATTTTGAGGTAATTATTTGGAATAAGAAAACTGATAGTGCAGTGGTTGGATGTTTCATATATGAGGGAAGATTCTTGGGTTTAAATCCTTGAAGAACCATTTTTTAGAGATTCTTTCATATGAACTTCAAAGAATATTGACATGTCACTAATTAAATATAAAAAAATCCACATGGATTTTAATTAATAAATTAAAAATTAAATATAAAACTTAATACACAATCAACAATATATTGGGTGCCACATAGGAAGATTCCCTTACATAGTCAGTGTAATAGTAACAATAAGGTCTTTGGAGATGGAATTTGGATTTTGTAAGAGGGGATCATAAAAAAAATTCTTAAGGAGGGTAAATCAAAACTCACTATAATGGCAGGGGGTAACGTATATTTAACTCTTATTTGATTTATAATGAACCTTGTGAGAAACATTGAGCCAGTTGTTTTCACGAACTAATACACCTCTCTATGAGGTGAGAGAGCCACAAATATCTGAGAAGATTTGGAGTACATAAAAAGTTGGTGCACTTTAGAGCGTTAGATGTTCATTGTAGTCTTATTCAAGCATTCAAAAAGGTTAGTTGCTCGTATGGGTCCAATTTTCAATGACAATCATACAAAGATAGAAGTTGGAAATATCTTGGTATCTACTCCTTCCTCCACCCAGGTGAAAACCCAATATGAGGTTAATGTGTGGCCAACCCACCGCAACTTCTAGAGTTGCTAACTGCAATAGGAGGATGGGTCGTTATTGCTATTTTAGTGTTTTTTCCACTTTCTTTGTATGTTTGCTTCATGTTGAGGAGTTTTGATTATTGTGTTCGAACGTGCGTGGCATTTAGGACAACACTCATTACCTTTCATAGACACAAAGAAAATAATTATTTCAGAACTTGCAATTTCTTCATTAATAAATGAGGATCTAGCTTACATTTATGTAAACATACTGATCATATGGAAATCAAATCAAATGTGAATTCGAAAATATTACCAGGCAGACTAGCCGCCGCTTATTCTTCTTGTTCTGCCTCTCGTTGGATCGTCCACTTCTGGGAGGTTGGGTGTTCATGCTCTTGAGCTGGATAGTTAAAGATGTCACATTGATTTTGATGGCCTTGCCTTCTCCTTGGTCATGATGGAGCGCTTGATATATTCTTTTTGGCCCATTCTGGTCAGAATTTATAGTGATCGGCTCCCCATGAAGATTATGGAATTTGAGTTTGAGTTGTACTAGTGAGGTCACTACGACCAAGGTGGTTGTGAAGAGTCTTTCGAGAATGCAATCGTAAACACTTATGTAGGGGAATACAATAAACTCTAAGGAGACAGTCTGAAAGTCCTTCCATTCTCGTACAAGTATCATCGACTCGATGTACCCTTACGGATGGGTCGTCGTAGCATTAAAATTCTGCAAATTTGAGCCTTCTTACGTCCATAAACTTCCTCTTTTGAGGCTAATCTTCTCAAATAACTCAGAGTACATAACATCACATGAGCTACCGTCATCGATTAAAATTGTTGACACGTCAAAATGATTGATCGTAATGATGACTAAGGGAAAGATTTCAGTTGGGGTTCCTCTGATTTTCTCGTTGTCCAGGAACCTAAGCATCGACTTGTCATGGGATTTACCTAACATGTCTCCCTCTTATAGACATCCAACATTTTAACGATCTTTCTCTTCATAGTCCTCTTAGATAAGAAATTTGCTTGGGGTGCCCCTCCAGTTATATTGGCAATGTATTGACGTTTCCTTTGTCTACATTCCTTATCATCACTATTGATCCCGACCTCTGCGGGTTTCGAGGGAGACTTACTCTTGGGTGGTTTTCCTTTCTCTTTTTCCTCCCTTCACATACTCGGACAATCAACCTCTTTTTATCAAGCCATATGTTATGTTCCGCAAACATAAATGTGAAGAATTACAGAAGTTGCAGTAAAGAAGAGCTTCTGATACAACAA